CGGTACAGATGGTTCAATAAGTGGCATTGCTGCATGGATACAGCCTCTCGCCCTTCCTTCCCCTCTCCCATCTCAACCTTTTCCAGTATTCATTGCAATATCGTCTCCTTTCTCCCACCGATTCCAGCTGGGATGCTGCCTATGACAGAGAGCTGCAAGCTTTTCAGGACATTGGAGATGCCGGGGAAGTTTGGTAAATGATATAACTAAATTACTTCTTGAAATAAGTAGATCAACTAAAACAGAGTCTTTCTACTATTTCTTTATAAATGTAGACATTGCAAAAACAGCGAGTCAGTGGGGGACTGAATGGTTCTGGATGTTGGGAAAATGGTGGGGAGTTTTACTCTTGAAGCCACCAGTTCCTCTCTTGCCTGATTTAGCAATGGTGATTTCTCAGTCGCACATGGACAGCTGTCATTATGCACAGTGACCTGGTGGTTGTGGTGCATGTTACTGACAATGTGCTTTTTATCTCTCAGATGAGGTTTAACTACACAAGTTGCTTCTGCTGCCACCTTTTTGAATATATAGAATCCCAGACTGTTTGTGTTGGAAGGGACCTTAAAGCTCATCCAGCTCCAATCCCTGCCACGGGCAGGGACACCTTCCACTAGAGCAGGTTGCTCCAAGCCCCTGTGTCCAACCTGGCCTTGAACACTGCCAGGGATGGGGCAGCCACAGCTTCTCTGGGCACCCTGTGCCAGCGCCTCAGCACCCTCACAGGGAAGAGCTTATTCCTAATCTCTAATCTAAATCTACCCAGACTTGTTGTTTTGGTGAATTTTAGGGCCATGCAATTAATTTATACAAAGCAAACATGGAGCTATGACAGTTGTTACCCAAGTGCTTCAGTAAGAGGTGCTTTGCAGAAGCTGGAGGGAGGGAGTGATGAAATTACTTTGCTGTGCCTTTTGTACATATTTGCAGTACGAGTTACCTGCACCCTTGTTTTTCATAGGTTTGGAGAGGAAAGCATGACTCGCATCATCAGATGGCTGGAAAAGCAAAAGGTCCCCCTTGACAGCCCTGTGCTTGACATTGGAACTGGAAATGGTGTTTTACTGATTGAATTGGTTGGTATAATCCAAACTTTATGATTTTGATGCAGAATTGGTGCTCCAAATGGAATAGTTTAAATACAGCACTAGCAAGTGACAATAGTAATCATGGCAAGGTGTAACTTAGGTGAAAGCCAATAAGCAGGCAACCTAAAGTAAAACATACTGTGTTCTTTTCCCATCAACAGAACACTGGTTGCTGTGCATCAAGTTTTGTATTGTCATTTGGTTTAAGAGTATGAGTGAAGTTAACTTAGTGCTGTTGCTATGCCTTAAAGAACACCCTGTCACAAAGACAAGTGGTTCTCAAAGAGCCTGGGGGACTTTGGTGTGTAACTCTTCGAACCAGCAGTGCTGTTAGAGGGTGCAGACTGGGAACAGCACTTGTCTGTTGTTCTCCCAAATGGAAGTAAGCTGCTTTTTTTAACCTAGACATGCTCAGACTTGTCCTTTCTTGGTGCTGCTCAGAGTGTCAGTACTGCAGATTTCAAATTTTACAGTGTTTCTTTAAACCAGTCAACCTGAGTATCCCTTATTTTAACTTTACCTTTCTATTTTCCTACACTTAAAATGTATTTCTTCCTGTTGTTGTGTAGAACACCCCCAGACAAGGAAATTAAGTTGAGTAATACTCAAAGTACCCACATTTACAAAATCAGATCCTTTTTCCACACTCAGTTCTGACAATAATGCTCATTATCAATGTCAAAAGTGGTTAAAATGAAGGGGTTTGTTTTATAAATTACTTAAAAATTACTTCTTTTCAAGAAGTGTACATATCTGCCAGGGTGGAAACCCCTTTCCAGACATGTTCTTAAGTGTTGTCATGTTGTTGTTGCACTGGTACAATGTGTTTGGGAGTTCCTATTTTTTTCCTATTCTTGATTAAACACCTTGGTCTAACACTCAGGGAGTTGTTAAAGGGAGGAACTCTCATTCTGTTGCAGTCTCTGTTCTACATTCTCCACTGGCTCCATTAGTTGGTGTAGAAATGGAAAGGGCTGGAAGTCAAAGTCAGGTTCATAATGGAATACGTTAACATCAGCTTTGATTTTTGAAGAGTTTGAAGCCTTTATGGACACTGGCTGCTCCACTGCAGCACAGAAGTTGTATCATCAGAGGTAGAAATTGCTCATCTCATTAAGAGAAATGAGCCAAGTAACAGTCATTCCAGAGGGACCTGGACACGCTTGTGAGGTGGCCGATGCCAACCTTATGGAGTTTAACCAAGCCAAGTGCAAGGTCCTACACCTGGGTCGGCACAACCCCAGGCACAGCTACAGGCTGGGCAGAGAAGAGATTCAGAGCAGCCTGAGGAGAAGGACTTGGGGGTGGTGCTTGATGAGAAGCTTGACATGAGCAGGCTTCAGTGTGTGCTTTAGCCCAGAAACCAACCGTATCCTGGGCTGTATCAAAAGAAGCATGACCAGCAGGTCAAAGGAGGTGATCCTACCCCTCTACTCTGCTCTTGTGAGACCTCACTTGGAGTATTGTGTTCAGTTCTGGTGTCCTCAACATAAAAAGGACATGGAGCTGCTGGAGCAAGTCCAGAGGAGTCCACAAGGACGATCAGGAGCTGGAGCACCTCCCTTATGAAGATAGGCTGAGTAAGTTGGGGCTGTTCAGCCTGGAGAAGAGAAGCTGCGTGGAGCCCTCCGAGCAGGTTCCAGTGTCTGAAGGGTGCTACAAGGATGCTGAGGAGGGACTCTTCATCAGGGATTGCTAAATGCAGTGCTTGTCAGCTCTATCATTGCTGAAACATCCAGCAGAAGAATCTAATTTATAAGCCTTCAACTTTATACTGGCCCCACTTGCAAACCTGAAATTGATTTTCAGTCTGTAATGGGAACATGACAGCCTGTTAGCTTTTAAAAACTATTAAACTGCCATAAGAGCACCCTCCCCCCTTACATTAAGCACCTCAAAGTATGTGATTGCTTTAATAGGAAATTTTCAGTCCAGTTCCCATTTGAAAAGTGGCTTCAAAAAGATCACATTGTTTATTGGTGCTAAATAATTCAGGATGTCCCTCTCTTAGTTGTTGTAAAAGGAGTATTTTTATGTGTTAGCTGCTAAGCTCCGAAAGCCATGTTGAGATTCTCTTGGCAAGCACCTCAGCTGCTATAGAACAGTTCTGCCTTTGGAGCTGGACTTGATACCGTGCTAGAAATGGCAGTACTGGAAAAGGCAGTCAGACTTCAGCCATGTAGGGCATTAGTAGCATCTCTCTCAAAGGCAGATACTTGAGGGATGAAGGATGAATTCGACCATGGTCAGAACAGGCAGAGGTGCTGTAGAGTACAGTTTGTTGGGGAGCACTGGGCCCTGGATGCTATTTACAGTACAGAATGTAAATTAGAGTAGAGTAAGAAAATGACATTAAATGCAGCCAGGTCCAGGTGAGACACTGTCAGATCCAGCAGGGAATATTGCACAGAAAGGAGCCATCTGAGAAGCAGGTAATAAATAAAGTGAAAATAAGAAAGACCGTTGTATCCTGTATAAACTGGCCCCACTACTCAGCTAGAAGGCAGAACATCCAGCACACTGCTGAGTGTCTTCTGCCTGCTCACTGAAGGGATGTGCCCAGCTGTAAGCTCCAAGAGAAAGGCTGCTGGAGGTTCCTTCTCTTCCTACTGCTTGCTTTGAGGGTCTCAGATGCATAAGGGAGACCCTGTGCTGTGTTTATAGGTTCACTACACCATGGTCCTACCCCTGTCAACATCAGGAATCTGGTAGTTTGCACTGCTGACTTAATGCTTTTGCTTTCCTTCCTGTCCCTCCATAGTCAGGCCCATGCAGGTTTAGCAGCATTTAATGTTGTTTATCCTTAAACTTCCCTTCTCTGCCCAGGAGACTATAGGAGTGAATGGGAACTCCCTGAAGTGACTCAAGCTCTTCCTTTTCCAACAGAGGAGCTGTTGTGGGAACTCCTCTTCCACCCCCAAGTCTTCAGCACAGGCATCTCAGGAAGCTTGATTTGCTCTGGGGAGGAACGTGGGCAGAAGCCTGAGCAACCCTCTGTTGTTCATCAACTGCAAACAACAAGATCTTTGTGTTCAGCTGAAACTAGTCCTCAGTTAAGAACAGCTGGTGAGCACTGAGCTCACACAGGGTGAAAGGCAGTGGGAAGGAGGAAGGGCTGTTAAACTCCTGTACAAGTTTTCATTGCTGTCGAGGTATCAGCCTTTTGGAATAAGTAGAAACTGATTGCTCAGTGCTAGTTAAAGTCTATGTATTGTTCACAACCAAACCAAACCTCAGCCTCCTCCCTCTCTCTACTGTTGCTATCTGCAGCTGGCCATAAGATCAGAGCTCTTCCTGTTAGCTTTGCATCCAGCCAGACCCACCGGCACACATGATACCCAGATCTAGGCCCTTCAACTTCTACCTCAGGGTGAAAATGTGTCGTTGCCACCTTCCCACCTGCTTTGCACAAGGGTTGTTGGGATCTTACTGCCTGAGTTTGCTGAACTGGGTTATCATTATCTGCTCTGAAGTTACATTAACAGAAAGTCTCTGTGTGCTCTTTTATGTGGTGCATAACCTGCCTGAAAGTTGCTGATACAAAGAGCTTGTAGCATGCAAATGACTGCATTCAAATAGGCATTAGCATGAATGATTAGAAACATGTAAAGTTTTTGCACTGGGTTTCTGTACTGATAAAATGGGTTACATATTTTGGCTCTTACCATTTGAGTTAGAAACCAAATAATTGCTCAATCTCAGATGCTACGTGTCAGAGAAGTTTTTCTTCTCATTTTGAAGCATCTGGCATTAGCACGTGTTCTCCTCACTGGAAATTCCTGGTTTCTAGGTTACTTTTGGTGCAGATAATAGAGCCTGTTCCCCTCCAGGGTATTCCTTTTCACAGTTCTGCTCAGTTTTCCACTTGTTGACATAAGCCAGCTTTCAGTCAACAGTTCTTTTGAGGAGGTATTAGGCAGAATGGAGTTATTTCAGCTCATTCCCCCAGCTGTTTAGCTCTTGTAATGGTAACAGGAATAAAAATGAGTAAAAGAGGGTTTATTTCAGTCTTTAAGAGGAGGAGAATCATAGAATCAATCAGGGTCATCATCAAGTCCAACTGTTCCCAGCAGTGCCAAGGCCACCACTAACCCAGGGCACTGAGGCCTTGTCTACACAGTGTGTGAACACTCGCAGGGACGGTGACTCCAGCACTGCCCTGGGCAGCCTGTTCCAATGCCTGAGCACCCTCTGGGCAAGGAATTGTTCCTCAGCTCCATCTAAACCTGCCCTGGTGCAGCTTGAGGCTGTTTCCTCTTGTCCCATCCCTTGTTCCTTGGGAGCTGAGACCGACCCCACCTCTCTCCATCCTCCTGTCAGGCAGCTGCAGAGAGCGATAAGGTCCCCCCTGAGCCTTCTCTTCTCCACACTAAACCCCCCCGGTCCCTCAGCCCTTCCCCATCACACTTGTGCTCCAGGACCTGCACCAGCTCCATTGCCCTTCTCTGGCCCCCCTCCAGCACCTCAATGTCTCTCTTGCAGTGAGGGGCCCAGAACTGACACAGGATTCGAGGTGCAGGGGAACAGTCACTGCCCTGGCCCTGCTGCCACACTGGTGCTGGTACAGGCCAGGATGCTGTTGAAATTAGATGGATTATAGATAGGGAATACATTTGCTGAGTAAAAATATTGCTAGCACACTGATCGAGATTCTCTGCTTGTGTCCAGGCAAAGTCTGGCTACATGAATCTCACAGGGATTGACTACTCTCCTTCTGCAATACAGCTGTCAGAAAAAGTAAGAGAGAAAGAAGGGATGTCCAACATTAAATTAAAGGTAAGTTCAGAGAGAAAGTTAAGTGAGGAAATAGGAAGCAATTGAACCCAAGATTAAACAACCAAATTGCTACTCAGATGTACTCAGTATTTTATATTAGTGATGTCTTTTGACATTCATTTGTGAGAGAACTCTAACCTAATAAATCTCTATTTACAAGAAGATTGTTGGTCCTTTTTTATTGCTGTCTGTAACAGTCATTAGGGCTGACATGATTTCCCTGCTTCTACAGGCAACGTTTGGCAAGTTCTCTATTTTAGCTGCTACACACATTGGAGATAGAGGCTGAAATCCTGAGGTGATAGAATCCCTACCAGTAGCTATGCAGGAGAAGTTTGGGAATCCCTGCTGGAGCAGGGGGTAGGATCAGATGACCTCCAGAGGTCCCATCCTGTGATTCTGTGGCTGCCTTTCATCCTGAGCTCTCTCTGCTGTGCTGTTTTACCCTCCCGCTCCGGACCTGCGTTTGTCTCTGTTCTTGTACATCAGTTGTAACCTCTTTGTAGCAGGCCCTGTCTATTCTTCTCTATTTGTGCAGCACCCGGCGTGCAGCACCTGGGAAACCAGGCATAATGATTTCAAGAATGCACTTCAAGTATGTTAGTTTGAGTTTTAGATGGACAGGTACATACACAGGCTTTACAACAAAGAGATCATCACATCATATATAGAGAAGAAAGAAGGTGACATGTCATTGTAAGTGTTACAAGCCTGTGAGTTACCCTTTGCTAAGCACACCTATTGTCAGGTTTGAGGGTTTGTATTTTACAGTGTTTGCTTAAGGATTGAGTTGCTCCTGAGTAGAAGATTGTTTTCACAGTTGCAGACTTTTGGTTTAGGTAGAAGACTTCCTGGCTCCATCAGCTGAGCTGTCAGGATTTGAGATTTGTATTGACAAGGGGACTTTTGATGCCATAAGCCTCAATCCTGATAATGCAGCAGCCAAGAGGAAGCAGTACGTGAGATCCCTGTGCAGTGTGTTGAAACCAGAGGGCTTTTTCCTCATCACATCTTGCAACTGGACCAAGGAGGAGCTGTTGAACGAGTTCAGAGAAGGTAAGCAGTTGAACAGAACTATCTGCCAACGCGTGGTTGTTCAAGGATGAGTAAATTACAATGGCTGTGTTTGTTAGCATATTGACTCTTTCAGATGAGGAGTAGACAAGGTAAAGCGACTAGTCAATGCTTCGGCCTGTCTTCCCTCTGCTTCCCACAGGGCTCAGGGCTCAGGTTTGCCAGTGCCAACATGCTGAGGGAGGACAGGTTCTGTTATACTTTGGAGGATGAGGATTTCAGTCTAGTTGCACTGGGGAGGTGTATACCTGGGTGATACTTCTCCTTTGGTCTTTTATTACCAGCTACACTTCACCCATCTGATGGCTTTGAAATCAGGACAACACTGTTACCCACGTTTAGACAACCTGGCAAGTCTCTGACCATGATCTTTTATGTCACCTCCTCAGTGACCTTTCTAAGGGTATTTTCCATGCCACTTAGCTCCTGAATCTCATGCCTGAGGCTTAAACCTCAAGTGTGGATGTAAACCAGCCATCCCTTCTGGGGAACTAAAACTACTGGCAAATTCCCATCTTTTCTGCCATTAATTTGTGTGAGTCAGCCAGCTAAGAGTTTTATTATCCATGGAAGGCTTTCAGCTGTATAAAGCAGGGGTGCAGTGTAACAATACAGTCCTATAAACTCAGAGTAACTGCCTTGCAAGTTTTCCAGACGAATAAGGAATGGTTTGCAAAGGGTTATCCAAGAGGCAAATGAAATGACTTCCTTCTAATAAAGCATTTTAATTTCTGTCTGGCAGGATTTGAGGTTCTGGAGGAGCTGCCAACACCCAAGTTTTGCTTTGGAGGAAGAATTGGGAACAGTGTAACAGCATTGGTTTTCCAAAGGAAAAAAAGTGAGGCCATCCATCTTGGACAAATTAGATGAGATGAGAAAAGCCTGAACTTCAAACCTGACAGAAAACCTCAGACGTATGTGTAAATAAATGCTCTTTGAGTACACAGTAAAATACTATGTATGGAGCTCTGAAGGGCTGTAAAACGTCACCCTAAGAACATTTCAGCTTTGCATAAATTGCCTGTAAATTCTGTCCTGGCTACAACCTCACTTGTTGTAGGGAAGCCTCAGGTTTGGAAGAGAGAAACGAGGCATTTGGAATACGGAGACTAACATAAGTGGATGACATCTGTGTTTGGAACACAAAGATTAGCTGTATTTAATTGCTGTATTTGTAATCAGTGACCAAAAGAGGTACAACAGAAACCTCATTTCTCTCTTGTGTGGTGTAAGAGGGAACAAGATTTTGCAATGCAAGTGCTGGATCTTTTGGGTTATTCTCTTAGGCGAATGTGAAGGTAGCTGTTGAGGAGGGAAATGAATATAGAGCCAAAAAGGGACCAGTTAGTGCTTGAAATTCAGATTTGCAGAGGTTCTCGGGCTCAGCACAGTTCTGTCTCCACTGAAATAGCTCAACCCTTTTCCCACAGAGGGAGTTCTCTTAGAACACTGCCCTGCCTGGATGTGTGCTTGCTTCATCAGTTGTTTTCACTGATCTCATAAACACATAAAGGTGTGATGTTACAGTCTCACTAGCATGTCACATATGCCTCCATTATTAATCTGCTATATAGTAATGTCTTAAGTGCCAACAATGACCCCATGTTTTCCAATGGATTTCTCAGGACAGATTTTAGCTGCATAAATCCAAAAGAATTCAAAAGCATAACTATTCCTTCCTTTTGCCTTTTTGTTTTTGCTTTGCCTTTATTTCTTCTCTGTCTCTGCTCTGGAGCCAGGCTGAGAGAGCTGGGCTGGGTCAGCCTGGAGAAGAGGAGGCTCCTTAAGGGGAGACCTTAGAGCAGCCCCAGTGCCTAAAGGGGCTCCAGGAGACCTGGAGAGGGGATTTGGACAAGGGATGGAGGGACAGGACAAGGGGAATGGCTTGAACCTGCCAGAGGGGAGATTGAGATGAGCTCTGAGGCAGCACCTGTGAGGGTGCTGAGGCGCTGGCACAGGGTGGCCAGAGGAGCTGTGGCTGG